TTTCTTTCCGTCCACGACTTTACGTTCGGAATCAGCTTTGCCGTCCATCTTCCTCTTAAATCGGAGTTCCACCGTTGTTGCCAGATCAGAAAAGTTTGTTCTCTTATATCTTGAAGGTCTGTTGAGTTGTTTGTCGATCTCTGTTTCCAGCGTTTCTTCCGTTCATGTGCCTGAAGGTCGATAGGGATGATTTCACTAATCACCAGAACTGCAGGCTCGGATACGGTTCGATATGCAGAAGCTACCCGAAGTGCAGCAGTCCGCTGTACAGCTGCGTAAACTTTCCTCCTACATTCAACCTTTAAGGCGTTTGCCCAAATCTCGCACCCGTAAAGTAATATTTGATTTGTGGTCGCCATAAGTAATTTTCTTTTACTCTGGGTAGGACCTCTCACGTTAGCCATCAGTCTTCCTAGCATCGTAACAACTTTGCTTGCTTTTGCCGCTGCTTGTTTTATTTGAGCCCAATAAGACAATTTAGAGTCTAGTTTCACCCCCAAGTATTTGATCTCCTTTTTCGTATATATGGTGCTGTCGCAAACGAGCATTCCAATTTCCAACGGTATATTACGTTTAGTGAGTACCAGCAATTCAGTCTTTTCGGTGGCGAGTTTAAGACCGTGTGCATTTAGCCAATTTTGCACTTGTATCATCACCATGTTGAGCTTCCGCTGAGCGTTTTCCGTATTTCTTGCCGTAATTACTGCTGCGATATCATCTGCTAAAGCAACGAGGTGTGTGTCATCAGACATCTTGGATCTTGGATATCACAGACAAGTAGACGATCTTTCAAGTAGCTGCGGATCATCTTCATTAAATACGGGGCAATTCTGAATTTAGTACCTAGAGATTTTAGAATACTTTTCCACTCCACGCTGTTGAAGGCATTTCGAACATCAAGTGTTGCGAGAAGCACTATCCTCCGCGAGTAATGGTTTCCCGTTTGTGCAGTTTTTACTGTATTTACTATGTCTTCTATAGCTCCTAGTGTTGATCTGCCATTTCTGAAGCCATGTTGTCTACTTGAGAGGCCGCCGGCGTCGTTTATCGCCGCAGCGAGTCTTGGTTTTAGTAATTTTTCAAGCAGTTTACCCGCGGTGTCTAGTAAACAAAGTGGCCGATATGCTTCTGCTAGCTCAGGGTTTCCTTTTCCTTTGCTTATCAGAGTAAGCTTCTGTATCTTCCATGCTTCCGGAAAGACTCCGTTAACTAGACATATGTTGTACATGTCCAATAATATTCTTGATCGGTCTTTGCTAAAATTTTTAGAACTTCAAAAGGAATCCCATCCGGTCCTGGAGCTCTATTATTTTTTAATGAGTTCACTGCTTTTATTAATTCTTGCTCTGTAAATTGCGGTGAGCTTTCCTCTATATGCAACTCTTCATTGTCCTGTAGTGGAACATGTGTCGGAAAGAGTGAATCAACTATATTTTTCATTCTATGTGATTCGGAAATAGGGGGCGGTTGTCTAGACCCCAACTTTTTTAACACGATTTGGTGCCCCAGCCCTCAAGGATTATTGTTTATATCATTTCGGAGCTCTTCCCACTTTCGTTTTTTGCCTTTAGCTATTTCCAACTTTAATGTCTTCCTGGCGAGTTTATATTCAGCCGTTTCTGTTTCTGCCAAATTTCTTCTTCGGGTCCTGGAAAGTCTTCGCCTACATTGAAGGCAATTTCTTCTTAATTGAGCAATGTCCTCTGTCCACCAATAGGTAGCTTTTCTGTGAGTTCTCGTTCCAATTTTTGGCATTGATGCGTTGCAAGCTTTTGTTTGTTGGTGGGAGATTAGCGAAGGCTGCATTACCATATGATGCTAAACATCAAATTTTGTAACCGAATAACTCAGAAATCGTTTGCAGTTTTGTGCGATTTCTTCATTTCAAATATTTGCATGCTGGTACGCAAGCGCTTATGGCTATAGTTAGGCAGCGATTTTGGATATTTCATGCTAGAGGAGTAATACGCAAAATTACTGGTAGTTGTCTACAATGCTTTAGATGCCATCCAAAATTATGTAATCAGATTATGGGCGATTTACCCTCTTCTAGAGTCACCGTAGCGAGGCCATTCACTATGAATGGAGTGGACTTTTGCGGCCCTATTACAACAACGTATCTACTTCGTGGGTACAAAACAACAAAAAGCTATATTGCTGTTTTTATTTGTTTTGCCACAAAGGCTGTGCATATGAAGGTGGTCTCTGATTTGACTGCAAAGGCTTTCCTGGCTTCATTAAAAAGATTTGTATCTCGACGCGGCTTATGCTTAAAATTATTTTTCGACAATGCCACTAATTTTGTGGGTACTCGTAAAGAGCTCGAGGAAATGAAATGCAAGTTTTTTGATCAACAAGTACAGGACAAGATTTCAAAATATTGTACTGCCAATAGTATTGAATTTCATCATATACCACCCAGATCCCCCCACTTTGGTGTACTATGGGAAGCGGTTGTAAAATCAGCAAAATATCATCGGGCTAGAATATTGGGTCAATCGCATCTTACATTTGAAGAGCTGGCAACTGTGGTTGCGGAAGTAGAGGCAGTTTTAAATTCAAGACCTTTCACAACCTTGTCTAACGACCCAAATGATGAAAGCGTTCTTACACCGGCACATTTCTTAACAGGTGGTCCGTTAGTTGGAACTGTGGAACCTACTGTGGATAGCGAAGAATGGTCTCATAAAGATAGATGGCTACGAATTTCGGCCATACAACAACATTTTTGGAGAAGGTGGTCGGCGGAGTATCTTCATGAACTTCAACAGAAAGTCAAATGGACTAAGAAGCAGAAGAACCTTAATGAAGGTGATATGGTGTTAATTGCAGAAGAAAATTTGTCTTCTAAGCAATGGCTTATTGGGAGAGTGCTGAAAGTGATAAGAGATGCTAAAGGTTGGGTTCGAGTTGCTGATGTAAAAACAAAGAATGGAGAGGTTCGCCGAGCAATCCATAAATTGGCACCTATTCCATCTCAATGTTGATGTCTGCTGGAGCCATCAAAGGCGGCGATATGTTTAGAATTAAGGTTTATACTATTTGTTTAGAATTAAGGTACATTGTATTATGGCCTTTATTTATTTTATCATTTTTATTGTGTCGTAGCCTTTAAGCACACGCAAAAAGGCGGCGTGTGGCTTGGAGGTTAGTAATAAAGAAAACGTGAAGGTAAAAAGATCAGTAAACTAACTGAATAAAAACACATATGATATTTTAAGAATCGAAAACGAGAGTTCTTTTATAATTGTCGCAGTCAGAAAAAGTGGATTTGGTTTTAATTTTTGATTCATGAATTAGAAACAAATTTGTTGTTTTTGTCGCAGTCAAAAATAAGAAATCGAATTACTTCAACCTCAAATGCAACAGTTGTAGCTGCAACAACAATTACAATGTCAGCAGTATCAGGAGCAACACCAACAAGCAGTATCATTTTTAAAGCTGAAAGATGTCTTGGAACCACAACCTAAGATCGTTTATTAGATCCATTGAGATCCAACGATCGCGTTATGTAAATCCAATTAGTTTATCGTTGTATATTTAAAATTAATTGGAGAAGTTGGGCGGTCGTAAGAGAACTTTATGATGTTGTCCTATGGGATAAAAAAACTTATTCCGAGATATATAAACTCTTCAGGCAAGTTAGAGTTAATAATTTGGAAGAGCTTTTTAAAACTTTCACTGAAACATGTGAAATAAATAAATTATATCAAGTTGATGTTAAGAAACCTGCAATCTATGATCCATCTAATGTTGATAGAGATCTCGTAGATTTATTACGTGAGAATATAGCAGAAGATGAAACCCTTCAGGATGTAATAAGTAAATATACTAAACTTAGTTTGATGACTGATAGAAGAGCAATAGATTATAAACACAAGATGACTAGAGCTGAAACAAATATATATACAAATTCAGTTGGAGAGATACATGAAACTAATAATTATTCAATTCAACATGAAAATTATAGAAACAATTGTAATCAACATAGTGGTCGTAACAATAAGTAACAATAACTCCAATACCAAGAGAATTTAATGTCTTTGAGACCTTCTCGTGTGGGCTTGCGGATTTTCCAAATCGTCAATATAATGCTATTATCTGCACAAATTTTCTAACCGCTCTTAAAGCCAAGATTGACTTAGAAAACAATTCCAATTTAAAAGTATTGCACTGTTAGAATCCGATTTTGATATAGAAATTAATTCAGATCATTTAAATATTGAAATACAGAAAACATTTCCCTTATTATTAATAAAAACAATACTTTCCTAAATTTTCAGTATGTAACATTCGAGGTGCAGAATTGTTTAATTTGAAAAACTGTCACTATTTGCACTATTTGCTTGGATTATTATTAACCTGCATTTCCATATATATTTCATATATACTTATCTGATATAGTTTAGAATTTATTTTCTTCTAAAAATATTTCAATACAATCACATATGTGGAGAAGATAAAAATAATTATATTAGAAATGGAACAGCCGGACACCTTACCGGATGATTGTAATAATGTGAAGAGACAGAATGAAAAAACTCTAAAAAGACAATAACCCCCTCTATATATTTAACTAATTATATGATTACTCCATCTTATCTAAATAATCGATTTTCATATATTTATTTATTAGTCCCAAACATTGGAACGACTATGCCAGTTACATGACAAGTCTATGCGTATGTATAATAATTTCAAGACATATTTAAATATTTTTTTTTATTTTTATGTTTTTGTATAAAAATGTTCTTATAAATATATTTTATCTTAAAACTAAATATCTTACAACTAATTGCATTAAGGATATGCAATATACATCATCAAAATGGATCTGAATCTGGTTTAAACTTTCAATCTTACAACTAAATATCTTACAACTAAATATCTTAGAACTAATTGCATTAAATATATGCAATACACTTCATCAAAATAGATCTGGATCTGGTTCTAACAGTCAATGCGAATTTAAAATAGTCAATTTGTTTTTCAATATACTGAAATAATAATTATGCGAGTCTCTTGCGAGTTAATATAAATCCCGTTTCAGTAGCTTATCAAATGATGCCTGTCCATTAATGCATCCATGTAGGTAATTTTGGATGCTGCAATGCTGCAATTCTGCATATCTAAAAATAGAGAACAGAGGGAGAATATTATTAAAATTGATGATGTGAATAAATGTTCAAATAAGACATACCATAACATGATCAATCGATTAATCAATTAATGAAGTCAGTGAAAGCAATCGTTTTCGTCATTCATACGCGGCATCTTACGTTTCCATACATAACTCATAAACATAGCCAAATATACACATTTTCCCATGCCATTTCCCCAATGAAACAAGTACTGGTTTAGGATTTAAGATTCAAGTAATTAGAATACAGCCAGGTCTTTAAAGGAGAAATAACATTTTTATTAAGATTCTATGCAGTCCATGCAAAATCTGACGAGTTATGTTGGTGGTTAAGTTTCTAATCAATACCAGTCTTGAATACCAGTCTTGATATGAATATGGAAGCAAAACACGACATCATGTTGACACACAAAATATCTAATTAAAAATATTTCAAAATTTTAGAAACATATTATAGAATCTAGAAAGAGTGTTACTAACACATTCTGGATGTTTTCTTTATTCCATTTTTGAATGAAATGAAGCCTAGAGACCTTTATATAACATTTGATAGTGTCTCAGGTTCTCGATCCTAGAGCAAAAGATCTCTGGGGTATTACCGATTATCACAAATCGGTAATAGGCAGTTTGAGTTTCTGAATCAAGAAGCCTCTTAATCATCATAATATGTAGATAATGGACAGTCAGGGCCTTTGACTCTAAAGGTCTTCAAATCATCACAAATCGGTAATAGGCAGTTCATAATCGGGAATAGAAAATCTAAGGTTTCTAAGCCTAGAGGTTCTTTTATCATCATAATCGGTAATGGACATTCTGGGATTCCTGATCCTAAATGCCTCTAAATAATAGTTTTTGGCGTGTTTAATCTGAGGCTGTTAACTCCATAGCTTTTCAGATCAATCGGTAATGAACAGCCTGAGGCTCATTATTTTTGAGCGCTTAAGTCAATACAGTTAAGATAAACTGTAGAGGCCCGTCACCTTAAAGGTGACATCATCACAATTGGTATCATCGGAAGCCCTAACTCCAGAGGCTTTTAAGTCATCAAAAACGGTTTTAACAGTAAGAATCTCGCCATTGTAGAGGCGCTCCCATCATCACAAATCGGTTAGACAGTATGAGGCCCGTAGCCTTTAGTTCTGAATATGTAGCAGGTTCGAATAATTCTGTTTGTTCAGAAAATTGTAGGCGGGCGCAGCTTTATTACTATTCATTCAAGCATGAAAAAGCACAGATCCATGAGGTTTTCATTGAGTTTTATTAAATGTAGCTCGTTAGACTTGAATTTTCAAATATTTCATTTCATATATTTTACGTAAATTAAATGAATTTTCTTTGAAGTTTGTTTTGTAATATTTGCCAACTGTCAAAAAATAATATTTTAGAAGTGAATTGAGAACAGTTTCTGAACTTACCAACATTTACCTTTACCAATATCTTGTTAATTTATTTGTGTTTTGTCAAATTCTTAAAATACTAAAAACAAAGTTATTTTTAATAATTTCGACCGGCAATTTTCGAACTTACCATTTTACCATTTTACCATTTGTTTTTACCATACTTATTCCAGGTTATGATTTGCATTTTGCATGATTTTTAATTTCATTTCAAATCATTATTTGGTGTATATATAAAAAGTCGCCCAACCTTATTATATTATACTCCAAATTTTTTTAACTATTGCACATTATGCAGTGCCAATAATTAACAATTTTGTACTGTTCACTTTTAATTTGGAATTTTGAAAAATTTCCGAAAAAGGCCGAAATATTTTCTGTGATGAAGATACTTACTCTTCAACAAACCATTCTTTTATGAAGTATCAAAATTTTTTATTTGGTATATCAATTTTTTTTGAAAATATTTCAAAATTCACCGCAAACTCGATTTATAATATATGTGAAGAAAACTGGAATAATGACAGTATCTCTCCATCACAATCACATATGCTTTTGTGGATTTTATGGATATTGTGTGAATAACAACTTTAACATAATTACTGCCGATTTATTAGGTTAATTGCGATAGGTTAGACATACTAAACAGCATTTTAGCAAAACATGTCGCTTTTTATACGAAATTATTCATCTAATTTTTTAATTTCTTTATCCAGTCCTTGAAATAACTAAACAGTACGTTCAAGCTATTGCAATCATAAGTGAACACATGATCATAAAAAATCGTATCGTCTAAAAGTATCCCATTCTCATAGAGCCATGTTATGCAGACAGTCGTATAAAAAATGATTACTGCAGTATCAGTATCAAGCACGGCTTTTAAATAATACATTAAAACATATATTTAATGTCAATAGAGATGGAACTATTTTGAAGGATAAAGAGAATAAAAATTTCAATATATTATATATATAATATATTTTCCAATAATTTTCGCGATTTAAAACGTAAACTTGGTATTCTTGTACTTTTAATAGTTTCTGGTATTATAAGCAATACACACGTTTACTCGTTCTGGATCCTGTTATCGTGTATTTGTGCTTGATGATCGTCTTCGATAGTTTTTGGCTCGCTTTTGGCTTGCACTTTACTGATTTTAAGCGGATTTTATGAAATTTGTCTTTTCTTCCTTTGTGCTTCTATTCTGACAGTTTTTAATGCTGTAAACTAGCACTTTATTTAGTTTATAGTGAGTTCGCTCGCAACAGTTGAAGCGACTTAGGTGACGAGAAACAAGCAACTTAAAATATGCGTCTAATCGCGCGATGCGTAATATTTTTTGTCATAGATGGAATACTTCCTGCGGTATTAATCGCACAAGTTATATACAATTCTCTCCATCTCTTTTAAAACGTCAACTGATTTGTTGAAGAATTAACTGCATATTGTTTTTTAGGTGTAAGATGAATTTCAATATACATATTAAGTTAGTCTCTAGATTGAAACATTTGAATCCAGAGCCAAAGCTGGTGTTGGAAAAAGAAAATAAACAGATGACATTTTAAGAATCGAAATCGGGAGTTTTCTTTAATAAAATCATATAATTGACACGATAGATGAGTTAAAGAGTTGTGCAATGTTATTCTGTAATTAAAGTCGTCAAATATAACTGTAGTAAGGACCTAAACTCCCGAATTGATAGCAATCAAGTAATAGGCGACAGCACATCTACATTTTGTGAGTATACAAATACCCGTCATGCTAAGTATAAAAAATAAATCATAGTATAGAGTATATATAGTTTAAACTGCACCGACTGGCAATTTTTGTTGATTATTGAGAAATGCCACCACTGCATAATTGACTTTCAAATGCTAAACGAAACCTCTTTCGTTCAGATGCCACCAACTGTAAATATCAATTTCAGAGTTCTACGTTATTAGATTTCATCTAGATGCTTAAAAATAGAGAGAGAAGCTTGATAGCGATTATGATCAACTGGAATACGTTGCTAAAGTGGTTGATTTCATGTGGAAACCAAATATCGCAATAAGCCACCAACCCTGATTTAATTGAGAATTCGACGAAGCCCACATAAAATGTATGGAACTTTTAAGCCTAGTTAGAGGAACACTCTCTGGTGCATTCAAAATTAACTATAATGTCGCAAAGAAATTAAACAAAGTGATGACTGAGTGGAGATACCACGAATATTATGAACATGTACACTTAATTTTAAATCAAGTAAGGAGCAGTGAAGCCTTCTGATCACTGACATAAATTCAATTTGCGGCAAAATCATACAAATAATTAAAGCTGAAAATCAATATTCTATTACATTTTGTATTTTATATTATACAAGTAATGTTCTGCATTTGTATTTCATATTGTAGTTTTTATACTTAATATATTATAGTTTATATTCTTTATATTTTATGTTATATTTTAAATGTTTATATACTCATTTAAAATCGTTGCATGCTCCTATAACTATGCTACGTATAATCCGTTAGCAATTTTGATTGTTTCATATGCCTAAAAATATGCAATGATATTATACTAATTTTTAATTGCTTTATACATATAATACTTTTATATAGTATATAATATATATTATTGATATATAAAATAGAGTCAATCATTTTGATTTATTGTAACAAGCAAAAAGTTCTTCTCGTAAACCAACCAATTTTGCTTTTTTAAATTAATTTTTTATTTCATACACAATCCAATTAGAAACATTTTTAATATCCATAGCCTACTTTCAGATCAGCCTTACTTTTGCAATGCTTGACATCAATTCTTAAAATACATAGTTTGTAACGCCCAGTACCAACACTTTCTGAAGAAATAAAATCATACATAATATGAACAAATATTTTAAGTATCATTGTTGCTAATGTCATATAAAAATCGAAATATTTATTGTCGCAAAGGTTAATAAATTATATATCGTTAGAAAATGATTATTCCAATACAGCGATTTTGCTATATTGAAAGAAGATTATTGAACATTTTTTTTAATAAAACTACAAAAAAAAATATATATGCAGTATCATAAGCCTTTTTATTAGTTTGATACAGGTTTATTAATTTTTGAACCTATTTTTATGAATTTAGCAAAAAAGCCAATTTAATAGAAATATACTAGTCTTATGTTCATGCTTACATTCTTTTTCTGTGTAATGTAAATAAATATGGCCTAAAAATTTATAGCTATGAATTATTAATAAAATTGAAAAATTGTGTATTATAGTGGATCTGGAAATCGAATACAATCTCTTCACCTAAATTTAGTAATAAATTTCTTTCCTTTTTTCAGTTTCTGCTTGAATTTCAAAACAAGCTTGGGTAATAACTCTAGAACGCATTTACATATACCAATTAATTTTCATCTTTGTAGTTTAATATGTTTTGAAAACATATTAGAAAAAAATAATTTTTAAATTATGAATTAATCATAGCTCTTATACCCCCTTAGCTCTCATATATTCCATAGACCCATAAAACTGGCACTTAAAAAATTGGGCCTAAGCATATGCAATAAATTAATGATATGTATCTAAATACAGTCAGACTTCCATATCTCGAACTTCTATAATTCGAATTTACTATAATTTAAACCAAAAACAATGCACCAGGGTTTTAGAGAGCAAATTACATACAATTCTGCTTCCATAACTCGAACTTCTACAACTCGAATTGCTCTATAACTCGAACAAAAATTTTGTTCCGTGCCGATAGGAATATGGGAAAGTGCATTCTATAAGTCGAATTTTTACTTAAGGTATAAATGCATTTTGTTGTCAGGTGAAGTCCCTTTTTCCAAACTAAATGTTTAATTTTTTCTTTCTTATATTGTTACTTTGTGTAAATGCCAGTCGCTGGCAACATGGTTTCAAGTAAATACAATAACTCCCAATGCTACTCTTAACGCTTACATTGAGTTTGGCAATGCAATTTGTACATCAAGCTTTCCTACAGGTGGCAATATTATTAAACAGTAAAGCTCTGTATATATCTAATTACAGTGGATCCGATTTTAAGCGCAACAGAAAGTGATGATGAGGGTTCGGTGGACGAAATTGTTCAGCAGCCTTCCAAGAATGAAATAGAAGACTCATTCCATACTACAACTGAATATCACTATAAGGCTTTAAATAAAATGGAATGTCTTTTTACTGAAAATATGGTGACAAAATTAAAATCCCAAACACTAATTTCTAATTATTTTGCTTCACTATAACTTCTGTCCTGTATTTGATTTAAAAAAAAAAAATAAATATCTTAAAGTATAATTCTAGTTTCTATCAAAAATTAAAAAATTCCCTTACTTGAAGTCTCCATAAGTCGAACCGTTTTCTTTGCAAAATTGGACCTCAATTTATGAATATTTATGTTTCAATTTATATTAGTGTGTAAATATATAATATATGGTATTACTAGATTTCTTGCAATCGACGCTGCGAAATACTACCACTAAGACCGTCAATTTATTCAAGAAATAGTTTGTTATCTATATAATCTCCAGAAATGAGAGGCTGGTCACTGAGATTTTAGAAAATAGTTTGAGAAACAGAGGTGTGAACATCTATTTTGCGCCTTGCAACCGAACAACTAGTGAAGTCTTTAGGAATTACTGCTCCAAATGGTTGAAAATAATATATGAAATTGCTTTTTCATACCCTCCTCTGTGATGAACCAAAAACTGGAACTAAATGACTATGATGACATAGTCCCTTGCGTATTTTTGCTATTCCCGAAATTAATGTAACTACTTTTAAGAGAACGTTACGAGTCAGAGTCAATTGAAGCTACAAAAAAGAGTTCACTGAAGGAATTGAAGGCCGCACCAGAACTAGCCAATATAAATATATTTAGGATGGAACGTAGCGCTGGCATGATGGAATTGCATATAATTGACGAAGACA